ACATATATTTAGGAGATTCCTTACAAGCACAAATTGTGTCATGGTAAAGTCTGGGATTCTGGTGTGCCCATCACCAAACAGCAAACACTGTACCAACAGGTACTTTTTGAACCCTCAACTCCCTCCTCCCCAGCTCTCCCGCATTTGATTATCTCCAGTGTCTATGACTGCCCTCCCTCCGGATGCCCATGTGTACCCACTGTTTAGCTCCCACTGATAAGTGAGAACATGAGGTATTTGACTTTCTGTTTCTGCATTATTTTGTTAGGATAATGGCCTCCAGCTCTATCCATGTTGCTGCAGAAGATATGACTTCATTCATTTTTATGGCTAAGTAGTATTCCATGACATACACATATATCACATTTTCTTTTTCCAATCCTCCGTTGATGGACAATTAGATTGATTACATATTTATGCTATTGTGAATAGTGCTGTAATAAACATGTGAGTGCAGGTACCTTTTGGATACAATAATTTTCTTCCCTTTGAATATATATGTAGTAGTGGGACTGCTGGATTGAAGGGTAGTTCTATGTATAGTTCTTTAAGAAATCTTCATTTTTTTTGAGGTTTTAATTTTATTTATTTCGGTACCAGTGATTGATTCCAAATAACCTTTTTACAAAAAGGATGTAAGGTGGTTTATGGTTACATATAAAATATAACAGGATAACAGGTAGATGAGAAAGTAAAATGAAAAAATCAGGTTAGGAGACACAAAATAGACCCAGGGATGAGGCTAGAACATTTATAATTTGGTGTTGATGTTGTCATCTGATAGGGCATGTTGCTCATACTGTTGCTCTGAGGGAGTGCATCTTGAGAATTTTCAAATAATGATGTGAAGTTTGAGGTACGTATTTTAAATCTTTGTATTTTTAAAGTATAAGTATGTTCCATGAAATATGTCCAGATTATACTTAAGCTAAACATTGTTTATTATGTTAAAAACTCAAATGGGGCTTCATATATAGAGGATATATATGTATATATGAATATACATATACATATATATATGAAGCCCAGGAAATATATGTGTCCTCTATATATTCTCTCTCTGTGTGTGTATATATATCTCTAATATATATATGTCCTATATATATTCTGTCTTTGTGTGTGTGTGTGTGTGTGTGTGTGTATATATATATATTAGAGTCAGGTCTTGCTCTGTTGCCCAGGTTGGACTGCAATGGTGTGATCATAGCTCACTGCAGCCTTGACCTCCCGGGCCCAAGTGATCCTCCCTCCTCAGCCTCCTAAGTAGCTAGGACTACAAGTGTACAACACCACACCTGACTATATTAAGAAAAAATCTTTTTAGAGATGTTTTCCAGGCTGATCTCAAACTGCTGGCCTCAAGTGATCCTTCTACTGCAGAGTCCCAAGTTGCTGAAATTACAGGCGTGAGCCACAGCTCCTGGCTGTTTCCTGCATTTTATCTGGTAACCCTATCTAAGGTCATTCATGATCTGACTCCAGGAATCTTCTCAAACTTATTTTCTGCTGTCCTCTTTACTACTGTTGCTCCACATCTGGCCTTGACCAGCTAAGCTGACCTGCTCTTTATTTTTTATGCATGCGCTTGCTTTCTTCTGCTAGGATGTCAGGCTGTATGTAAACACTCCCTTCTTCAGGGAGCATTCTCTGAAGCCATGCTTGCCTATAAGAAATCCCTTCTCCCTCAGGGCCCACACTATTTTATCTCTACTTTTCAAAATGGAACTTTGCAGTTTTGATATCATTAGGAATTTTTTCCCTATACTTATCTTGCCTACCAGTTACAATGAAAGGCTTTAGAACAAATTAGTCTAGTAGGAATTCCAGACCCACTACTCACTGAATGGCTCTGTGACCTCAGGCAAGTTGCTTCATTCTCTGGGACCTTATTTGCTCCTCTGTAGAGCAGGGATAATAAAATGACCCTGTGCTGTTGCAAGGATTGAATTAGTTACTACAGTATACATGAGGCACATATGACAACAGCTGGTACTTCAGAAGAACAGGATCCATGTGCTTCATCTATCTGGAAGACATGACGCCTCGTACCAAGAAAGTGCTGAGTAAATATTCATTAAAAGAGTATCTTTAAATTATTGCTGTCTTTGATTGGTAGGTTAAGAGTGCTGCATGTGCACAATAAATAATCTTCATGACACAGAGCAAAGAGCTACTTTCAAGATGACCAAAGAACAAATTTTTATAACTGATTGAAGCATTCCAGAAGGAAAATGTCTGAGAACAGCAAACACAATTTTGAAAAAAAAAGGCAGTGAGAGGAGTTTGCCTCACTAAAAATTAAAACAAACTCTATAGCTACTAGACTTAATAGTATGTGGCATTGGCCCAGAGCGAGACAATACAAGGGAAGACCAAAACAGAGTCTGAAAACATACCCGAGAAGAAATGGGAGTCTAACACTGACAAATGAAGCATTTAAATCCAGTAGGGAAAGGATCAATCATCTTAATAAATTGGAATAACATAATTGTGTATCCATCTAAAAGTGAACAAATTAGATCTCTACTTCATAGAATAAAAATTTAAGATGTAGCCAGGTGCGGTGGCTCACGCCTGTAATCCCAGCATTGTGGGAGGCCGAGGTGGGTGGATCATGAGGTCAGGAGATCCAGACCATCCTGGCCAACATGGTGAAACCCCATCTCTACTAAAATACAAAAAATTAGCCAGGAGTGATGGCGGGCGCCTGTAGTCCCAGCTACTTAGGAGGCAGAGGCAGGAGAATCACTTGAACCCGGGAGGTGGAGGTTGCAGTGAGCTGATTTTGTGCCATGGCATTCCAGCCTGGCGACAGAGCAAGACTCAGTCTCAAAAAAAAAAAAAAAAAAAAATTAAGATTTAAGTAAAATTGATAGAAAATCTGGGAAACATCTGCATCATATCTGGGAGGAGAGACTTTATTTTCTTTTCTTTTTTTTTCTGAGGCAAAGTCTCACTCTGTCACTAGGCTGGAGTACAGTGGTATGGTCTCAGCTCACTGCAACCTCCACCACCCGGGTTCAAGTGATTCTCCTGCCTCAGCCTCCCGAGTAGCTGGGATTACATGTGTCTGCCACCACGCCCAGCAAATTTTTTGTATTTTTAGTAGAGACAGGGTTTCACCATATTGGCCAGGCTGGTCTTGAACTCCTGACCTCACGTGATCCACCTGTCTCAGCCTCCCAAAGTGCTGGGATTACAGGTGTGAGCCACCGCGCCTGGCTAAGAGACTTCTTAAAAGCAAGATGGAAACCTAGAAACTGCAAGGGGAAATTTGACACAAGAAAAAAAATAATAATTGCTTAGATTGCATATATCATAAACTAAATCAAAATACAAGCCTTGGGTTGGAAAAAATATCTGAAATATACAAAAATGGTATAATCACAAATTGCACTGAAATTGGCAGACTGGTCTAAAGTTTATGGAAGAAGTCTGAGTTAATGTATTTAAAACCACGAGAGTGGATGAGAACACCTAGGGAGTGAACATAAATGGAGAAGTTTCCATAGACAAGTCCTGGACATTACAGCGTTAAGAGGTCAGGGAGATACGGATGACCAGCGAGGTAGGAGAAGAACTAAGCTCGAGTGTGTCTGGAAAACCAAGTGGACAGCATGTTTCCAGGATGCAGTGATTTTTTTTTTTTTTGAGACGGAGTTTCACTCTTGTTGCCCAGGCTGGAGTGCAATGGCACGATCTTGGCTCACCACAACTTCCACCTCCCGGTTTCAAGTGATTCTCCTACCTCAGCCTCCCGAGTAGCTGGGATTACAGGCATGCACCACCACACCCAGTTAATTTTGTATTTTCAGTAGAGATGGGGTTTCTCCATGTTTGTCAGGCTGGTCTCGAACTCCCGACCTCAGGTGATCCACCCACCTCAGCCTCCCAAAGTGCTGGGATTACAGGTGTGAGCCACCGCGCCTGGCTTTCAAGATGTAGTGATTAACTGTATCGGGTGCTGATCAATATGAAGGTCATTGCTAGTCATTGGTGACCTTGATCAGATCAATTTGGATGGAGAGCCAGGAACAGAAGGCTAATTGGAATGGATTTGAGAGAACAGGAAAGAAGGAACTAGAGACTGGGTATAGATGACTTGAGGTATGCGCTGCAATAGGAGCAGATGGAGGGAGGTGCAGCAGGGCTGTAGCTGGAGGAGTGTGGGTTCTAGTGAGGGTTTTGTTTTGTTTTTTAAGATGGAGAAATAACAGCATGTGTTTATGCTGAAGGAAAGACTCCAGTAGAGAGGAAGAGACTGAGGATGTAGGAGAGAGGAGAAATGCTGGAAGTGACTTGCTGAGCAGGCAAGGGAGCTCGGCAGCTGGAGCCTCTCCAGGCAGTCTCTGGGGGCAGACGGGATTGGACTGAGTCCTGGAACAGAGTTGAGGTGAGCACCCTGACACTGGCCTTGGACGACCACTGGAAAGATCCCTCAGATAGGGAACACACCAGAGATTGGCTTGGATTTGCTGAAACTTCCCTCTGTCCCCCAAAAGCAGATTCTAATTTGGATTTCCACAGATGGCTCAGAGGAGAGAGGGCATTCTGGGGGCACTGGCATAAGCATGGGGCCTTCAGACATTCAAACTGACTGAGGCCAAATGGGCAGGAGGATGTGGGTAAAGCCAGGTGGGTGGATAGGGGTGGCTATGAGAAGATGCCATAGGCAGAAGCCAGCCCCTGAGGCCTTCTCACCTACCTCATCAGCCCAGGCAGCTGTGGCTGCACTGAACCACCTCCCAGATTGAGTGCTGAGGAGAGATTAGAATCATGAGTAAGGGGCTCAGTCCTGGCCTTCAGGAGCTCAGGCTGAGTGGATTCCAGTAACCACCATCTAGACGGGTGTTTAAAACTCTTGCTTTCGGCTGGGTGTGGTGGTTTATGCGTTTAATTCCAGCACTTTGGGAGGCTAAGGCGGGAGGATGGCTTGAGGCCAGGAGTTGGAGGCTGCAAGGAGCTATGATCATTGCACTGCACTCCACCTTGGGCGACAGAGCAAGCCCCTGTCTCAAAACACAAAAACGAAAACAAAGTGCTTTCCCCTAGCCCGGCATACTTGGGTGAGTCTGCGGGAGGCAATGGACGCTGCAGCCAGTCAGACCCATGGTAGCAGAGTCTGGGCCCACCAACGGCCCAGCAGAGGCAATGTGGAGTACAGGGCCTGCTGGTCCTCTGGTCACACCCACTCATGCTGGTCTCCACATGCTCTTTATATCCCCAGAGGTCGACAGTGTGGGGGACTGGAGTGACCCAGCTGGATGTGACCCCCAAGACAGAATGGTGCTGGACTCGGGGGCTCAGGGGTATGACCAGGCACCCCCCAGCCTGCTTACCAGCCTCCCATCCCTGCGCCATAGGCTGAAGCCCTCAGACCGAGATGGGCCACCGCTGTACCCCTGGTCTCAGCCCCTGGCCTTGCCCCTGGCTCTGGCAGTCCCCCCAGCACTGCAGCCCCAGACTGAGCAGCAGCCCTTCTCACAAATGCACCTGGGCCACTGTGGCCACATGCGTCGCAGTGAGAGCACCCACTCTGTAAATAGTACTTGCCAGAGGGCACGTGGCACCCTGGGATGGCCTCTACCTGGACAGGGACAGAACCCAGGTGGGCGCACCCTGTGGCCTGCAGCCTCCCTGCCTCACGTTGCTAAGACTCAAAGGGATGCAGGCCATAGTGCCAGCAAGAGCCCCTGCATGTTGGTGGCCCTGCGACCAACCAATACGGACCGTGAGCGAGACAACTTCTTCCAGTCCCATTACACCTACAATTCACCCTTCGAGTACCAGGAGCCCATGCCCACGCCTGTGCTCGAGAAGTACTGCGAGGCCTCTGGACAGTTCATCCATCAGGCAGTTGGCATCACTGAGCTGTTCTGGAGAAGTCTGGAACCTACGAACACTTTGAGGCTGTCACCGGGAAGCAGCTGCTCACAAGTGCCAAATATGGTCCATTGTGCGCAAAGACATGCCGAAGAAGGGCTGCGCCGAGGAGACTGTGGCGCAGTTGAGTGAAGACCTGCTGTCCCAGGCAGTGATGACGGTGGACAGGAGCCGGCCCACACTGGCGATCAACCTGACCGGAGCCCGCCAGTACTGGTTGGAGGGCATGCTGTGGTATGAAATAGATCAGGGTATGGGTATCCGGCGGATGCGTAGGCATGAAAGGGGCCTGGGAGCTGGGAGGGGTAGGAAGGAGGGGCCCGAGTAACTCCCCCTTTTGTTTATCCCCCTTCCCTCCTGAGGTCGGGGCTTTCCCTTCCTGAGCAGCCACCTCCACCCTCTGGCTCAGAGGTAGGCCAGAACATGCCTGCCAGCGCTCTGGGCGCACCCTCATCTCTTGGTCCTTTCGAGTCTATTTTTCTCTCTCCACTTCCTCTCCGACTTCTCTCGACAGTGGGGGCAAGGCTGGTGAGGCCCTGACAGGCCAGAGGGAGAACCCTCAGGGTCTCACCAGGCCAACCCTTCAGGGTGGACGGAAGGCCAGATCCTGGGAATGGACTTGGCTTGAGGACACACGTCGCCTGGTTTAGGTGGGGACTGGCCAGGCTGGGCAGGAGCGTGCAGGGCACTAACCACTGTTTCTATCCGTCTGTCCCTCTTCCTCGAGAATCCTGTTGCTCTGGGCAAGAGGTGGTTTTTGCCGGGGGCATCAGCGTGAGTGTTCAAAATGATATGGACACCCAGGATGTTGGGTAGGGAGGTACACGTATTCTTGTGCCCGGGCGGGCTGGGGGCAATGTCAGTTCGGGAGAGTTCGTGCACGCGTGTGGGTGCGTGGGTGAAGGGTGGGGGGCGGATGGGTGGGAGAGGATTCAAGTATGTGAGCCACTGTGGATCCCCGGGTGCAAGTCCACCGGAGGAGGGGCTTCACGCTGCGTGGGGCCGGGAGAGCTTGTGTGCAAACCTGAGTTCGGGAGCATGAGGATCGAAGTGTCGAGGCCAGAGCCCAGGCCAAGCGGAGCAGGGCCAAGGCTGGGCTCGCTGGCGGGTCCCCGAACGCCCCGCCCAGCGCTGCCTCCCCTCGCCTTCCCCACAGACATTCACTACCTGCGGGGCGTGAACGACGCGCGCCAGTCGTGGCACAACGCGGAGGGCCGGCTGCGGTACGGGCTGCTGCCGCAGAACCCCACGAGGGGCACCTGGCCAGCCTGCACAGCGTCCTGTTCCGCCAGCGGCTCTTCCTGCGCTGCGCTGCGCTGCTCCGCTATCCCACGCCGTCGTTTTTCTACACCCGCCGCCGCGCTCTGCGCGCGTCCTTCCGCCAGCTCGGCCAGGACGCGGCGCGCTACGTGCAGGACGCCGCCGTGCGCCGAGAGGACTGCGTGCGCGCCCAGCGCGGCAAGACGGACACCTCGCTGCCAGCTTGTTTCCGGCAGGGCCAGGGGTACCTGGACGGCATCGTGAGCATTCTGCGACATCGCCAGACCATCGATTTCCCGCTGCTGACCTCATTGGGCAAGGGGTCCTGTGAGTATGTGGACCACCTGCGGCCCCATGGGGTGCTGGATAATACCCGGGTGCCCCACTTCATGCGGAACTTGGCACCTTACCGGCAGCAGCTGGAGCACATCATGGCCACCAACCGGCTGGATGAGGCGGAGCTGGGTCGCCTGCTGCCCGACTGATGGAGGATGAGGGCTGCAGACAGAGGCCCTGGACAGAAGCTCCAGATAAGGCCCCCAGAACATGAAGCTGTTTGCTCTGTGCTTCCACGGCCTGGGTGTTTGTTGGATGTGTTGGGAGGGCAGGAGCATTCCTTGAGAAGGAGTGGCAACATCAAAGGGTTTGTGTCCCTTGCTAGCCTCCCTGCAGCAGCATGTCTGGCAAACTGAGTCGTCCTCCTGCCTCCAGCTCTCTGTTGAGCAGAGGGAAGGCATGGGGGCAGAAGGGAGCTGAGTATTGATGGAGATGGGGGTGGTTTGGGAATAGAAACTTGTTCTTGCATGAGGTGGCTTTGGTTGTCCCGGTACTCCAGTCTGTCCCTTCCCTCACCTGGCCCCTTGGTGCTCCTTCAGCATTCGTGCTGTCTACCTCTCACTGGGTCCTGGTGGGGGTCGGGATCCCTTCTCCTGGGGTGATTGATGGCCTGAGCCTGGGGTCTTGGTAGCAGAGACCCAGCTGGTCTGGGGTGTGCTTTCCAACATTTTGCCTCTCTCACTGGTCATGTATTTATTCCATATTTATATGGTCTACTTCCTGTGGCTGGGAGCAGCAGCTCCTGAAGTTTCCACTAGGGGGAACAAGACACTCCTTCCTGGAAGATACCGATTTTCCTAGCCCCACTCACTCCGTTACACACACACACACACAACAAGAACAAGACCTCCTTCCTGGAAGATACGATTTTGCTAGCCCCACTCCCCAGTACACACACACACACACAGCAGAACAAGACACTCCTTCCTGGAAGATACCGATTTTCCTAGCCCCACTCCCCAGTACACACACACACAACAAGAACAAGACACTCCTTCCTGGAAGATACCGATTTTCTGGCCCCACTCCCAGTACACACACACAACAAGAACAAGGCATATTATGGAAGATACCGATTTCCTGTGCCCACTCCCATTACCACCACAATACACACAGTAGTTCAGGCCTTGTGAATCAAGCCCAGAGCTCCTTGGCCCGATACCGATTTTCCTAGCCCCACTCCCATTACACACACACACACACACACACATACACACAGTGATTCAGGCCTTGTGAATCAAGCCCAAGAGCTCCCTTGGCCCTGTCCCCACTCCCTCCACTGGCCTCTGCTGTTCCTGTCTCTGCCCACACCCTCACAGCTGGTCTCTGGCAGAGGCTGGCATAGTCTAGGAGCAGCTGCAGTTGCGCCTGAGCGACAGGCCCTAGAGTTTGGTGGCCCAAGTCCTGAACCCCTCCTGGACCAGGTGAGGTGCAGAGGTGGTTGCTGCTTCCAGTTTCCCTTTAGACTTAGCTGTGTGAGCCCCACTCATACCCTTTGGCCTTAGTTTTCCCATCTGTAAAACTCAGAAACACAGTTGGAAAGTCCTTATTTATTTAGTCAGCGAATAGAATATGTATACAGCGCCTTTTGTGTAAGTTACTGGTCAGAATCCTCACTGAGCTCCCAGTCCAGAGGGAAGCCAGACAATTAAAACAGTAATGAAAAGAAAAAAAAAAAGAAAAGAAAAAAGGAAAAAAAAAGGGATAAGAAGCCTGACATATAAATAGCATGAATGGATAAGAACAAACAACCCGACAGAACAATGCAGGAAAATGCTAAAAGTTTAAATCTTAGACTTGAAAAGAAAAAATCACCAACAAAATGTGAAATAAAAATGTTCAGTTTAATTAGTTAAGAATTCCACTACATTCAAATGAAAAGAAAAGCCATTTGTCATCCTTAGAAAGAAAAATGATAAAAACAGCAGTAAAATCCTGTGGTGTGAGGCTAAAGGAAACTGGACACTCTTGTCCCTCACATGGAGGAGGGCAAAGCACTAAAACCTTTCAGAAAATATCTATTGAAGTAAAAACAGACGCACTCTAAATCAGTCATCCCACTTTTGAGAATCTGTTCTGTGGAAAATGCATGTTCTTCCTAACCTTTGCTAAGCATTTAAACACACACATACATATTACGACATATAAATGTTTGTGCAATGATTATCTATTATGGCATTGTTCATTGTGGCAAAAATCCAGAAGCAACCTTATGTCCATTACGGGTGGGAGGATTGAATAAAGTATGCATGTCTGCACTATAGAATATTTTGCAGCTATTAAGAAAGAATGATACAATTTTATAAGTAATTGGAGAAATGTTCATGACATTGGTAATGAAAATGCAAGAGTAATTTGTAGAGAATGAACTTGTTTAAAAAAAGAAATAGGCCGGGTGTGGTGGCTCACTCCTGTAATCCCAGCACTGAGGGAAGCCGACATGGGCGGATCACGAGGTCAGGAGATCAAGACTATCCTGGTTAACACGGTGAAACCCTGTCTCTACTAAAAATACAAATATTGCTAGGTGTGGTGGTGTGTGCCTGGTCCCAGCTACTTAGGAGGCTGAGGCAGGAGAATCGCTTGAACCCGGGAGGCGGAGGTTGCAGTGAGCCAAGATCACACCACTGCACTCCAGCCTGTGTGACACAGTGAGACTCTGCCTCAAAAAAAAAAAAAAAAAGAAAGAAAAGGAAACAAAATACAACAGATGAGCCTTATCTTTAATCATGCCACTTAATCTTCACTTTCTAAAGAAGATTAGTAACGGCTGTTACTAATAAGGTGACTGTATATTCCTCCTGATCTTGCTCTTGCATGCATAAGCTATTATACGCACCCATTAAAAATGCAAAATACTGTCTTGAGGTACTACTCTGACTTCATTTGTTTCATGATTTCATAATGTGCGTGCCATTTGCAATGTGTTGTTTTTCACTTAATAATGTGTCAGGAATTGTTCTTCATACCAGCTCAAAGCTATCCATCTCATTTTTAAAGAACTGAGTAGCATTCCATAATATATTGGTAACATAATTTATTTAACTCTTCTTCTTCATATGGGCATTTAGGATGTTTCCAAATTTTTTGTTATTAACAAATAGTGTCTGATGAATACTCTTAGACGTGTGTTTGTACACATATGTAAGTATGGCTATAGGCTAAGCCAAACACTGAGGCGTGGGACTGATCTGTAGTATGATATGTAACATCTGAGCTTTTAGGAGGTAATGACACAGAACTCTTCAAGTAGATATGCTGCTTCACAACACAACTCATGGTATATGTAAGTATATCTTATCTTCCTACCAGCTCCCAACATTATCCAGTGTTTATTTTCCTGTCAATCTAATGGGTTAAGAAAACAGTATGTCAAAATATTTCATTTGTATTTCTTGTATTACAGTGAGACTGAGCACCTTTTGGTCATTTTTGTTTTCTGGTCTGTGAATTGTTTTTCATACCCTCTCATTGATTGAATTGAATTTTTCTTTTCTTGATTTCTAGCAGTTCTTAACATACACAGAATACTCAAATTTAGTCTGATAGACACAATAAAATATTGCTCCTGAGTGAACCACCTGCACTTCAACTTCACTTTTGATGTTTTTTGTTATAGTTTGAAATATTTTTACCCTTAGAGATATGTTGATACCATGTTTTCAAATATATTGGTAGAACACTGAATATATGTTCCTTTTGTTTGCTTGTTTCTGAGTATTGTTTAAGTGTGCTTTCACTTTTTTCTTTATTAAATTGCCAAAGTTTCATCTTTCTTATTGGTTTTTTATTTTTTATTTATTTATTTTTTAGACAGAGTCTCAGTCTGTCGCCCAGGCTGGAGTGCAGCGGTGCGATCTTGGCTCACTGCAAGCTCCGCCTCCCGGGTTCACGCCATTCTCTTGCCTCAGCCTCCCGAGTAGCTGGAACTACAGGCGCCTGCCACCACGGCCAGCTAATTTTTTGCATTTTAATAGAGACGAGGTTTCACCATGTTAGCCAGGATGGTCTCGATCTCCTGACCTCGTTATCCGCCCGCCTTGGCCTCCCAGAGTGCTGGGATTACAGGCATGAGCCACTGCGCCCGGCCTTAGCTTTTTCTAAGAACAATTTTTAACTTAATGATCAGGTCATGTCCTGTAGTATTTCTTTTTTTTTAATTACTTAATATCCATGTAAAAATTAGTTTTCTTCTTTTTTTGGGTTTCATTTGCACCTCTCCTTTTTTCCTACTTAGGAATACACACACACACACACACACACACACACACACACACATATATACACACACACACACAAACTTTGTGCTTTAATTTATTCCAAGTGTCAGAAATGACCAATTAAGGACAAATCGAAACTCTTGGTGTTCTTTAGAATTTAAAAATCTTAATCCCTCAGAAGTTTCTGTCCTTTGCAGACAAGGCTGGGGAGCACAGCCTGAAACCTGCCACACCCACCACAGCCACCCACCCACACTCACCCTCCTTGGATCCTTTCCGCCTTCGTTTCCGTTCTTCTCTTGCAGACCTTTTTTTCTCTTTGTGTCTCTGTCGGAGTGCTGTTTTAGGATCAGTAATCCAGGCTTGATAAACAAACTGAAGGGAGAAAGTTCAATTATTTTCTGGCCTTTTAATAATTAGAAATAAAAAAAGGGACCTACACCAAGCTTCCTGACTTATGAAATATTTTTTCCTCCCAACACAAACTAAACATCCCTGTGCTATTTTTATTATCATGAGATTCAATTTGTTTTAGAAAAAGACAACAGATGTTGTAGTAATATATTTCATCTGGTATCACAGATATCATGAGATAAACTGTGGGTATACCATACAAACCATCATTTCTCCCACGTCCCTACATCTCACCACCATTTGTGATACTTATTACTGATAGTTTTGCACTGTCCACAATAGGTGTAAGCTGGAAGCCTCATTCAGTATCAGTAGTTTCTCCCATCACAAATAAACTTTGAGTCAAAACAAAATAACATCTTTAATAGTCTTCTTTACTTTGGGAAAATAGTTTTGTGCATTTGATACTCTTCCTTCTGAATTACAGCTATTACCAGCGACTTGAGAAAGCGGTTTGGAGAATGATTAGTACTTTGCGAGAAAAAAAAATATGACATTAAGGTTAAGGAGTTATTCCAGAATAGCATTCAAGAAAACCTGTGGGGCTTTTGGTTGCCTTTTGTCATTTTCATTCAAGAGCTGAAAACAGCTGCGTTAATATATTATAACCGATA